CTTCATTTACGTCGTTTCCCGCATGGGTGTGACCGGTGCTACCGGATCATTGAGCGCCAACATCCCCGAGCTTCTGAACCGGGTCCACGAATACTCGGGCAATGTCCCTGCTGCATTGGGATTCGGTGTCAGCACTCGTGAGCACTTCCTGTCCGTCCAGGACCAGGCCGAGGGTGTTGTTATCGGCAGTCAGATCATCACTTGTGTTGGCAATGCTCCTGCTGGGCAGGCCGCCAAGGCTGCCGAGGAATACCTCTCCAGCATCACCGGACGCAAGCGTGAGCGTGATGCCACCGGTGCCTTCACTCGCGAGATCAACGTTCTCGAGGCCATCGAGAAGGCCCAGCCTTCCACTCAGGTCCACCCCACCAAAGTCATCACCGATGCCGATACCCCCGCCGGACCTGGTCTTGCTGACCAAATTGAGGCCCTCAACGTCACAATGGACGCCTCCTCTCAGCCCTCGCGCTTCGGCGAGTTCGGTGGACAGTATGTCCCCGAGTCCCTGATGGATTGCTTGGCTGAGCTTGAGCGCGGCTTCGACGTCGCCAACAACGACCCCAAGTTTTGGGAAGAATTCCGCTCCTACTACCCCTACATGGGCCGTCCTAGCAGCCTTCACATGGCTCAGCGTTTGACCGACCACATTGGCGGCGCTAACATTTGGTTGAAGCGTGAGGATCTCAACCACACTGGAAGTCACAAGATCAACAATGCCCTCGGACAGATCTTGATTGCCCGTCGTCTTGGTAAGACCCGCATCATTGCTGAGACCGGTGCTGGCCAGCACGGTGTCGCTACTGCCACCGTTTGTGCCAAGTTCGGTATGAAGTGTACCGTGTTCATGGGTGCCGAGGATGTGCGTCGCCAGGGTCTTAACGTCTTCCGCATGAAGCTCCTTGGTGCCTCCGTCGTCGCTGTCGAAGCTGGCAGCCGTACACTGCGTGATGCAGTCAACGAGGCTCTCCGCGCTTGGGTGGTCGAACTTGACACCACCCACTACATCATCGGCTCCGCTATTGGTCCTCACCCCTTCCCTACCATCGTCCGCACCTTCCAGTCCGTGATCGGAAACGAGACAAAGGAGCAGATGCAGGCACAGATTGGAAAGCTCCCCGATGCTGTCATCGCCTGTGTTGGCGGTGGTAGTAACGCCGTTGGAATGTTCTACCCCTTCTCCAACGACCCCAGTGTCAAGCTCATCGGTGTCGAGGCTGCCGGAGATGGTGTCGATACTAACCGTCACTCTGCCACCCTCTCTGGCGGTTCCCACGGTGTCCTCCACGGCGTCCGTACCTACGTTCTGCAGAACGAGCACGGCCAGATCTCCGATACCCACTCGATTTCCGCCGGTCTTGACTACCCCGGTGTTGGCCCCGAGCTTAGCAACTGGAAAGATACCAACCGCGCCACTTTCATCTCCGCCGATGACAGCCAGGCCCTCGCTGGCTTCCGTGCCCTCGCCCAACACGAGGGTATCATCCCCGCTCTGGAGTCCTCCCACGCCGTCTGGGGTGTGATGGAACTGGCCAAGACTATGGGCAAGGGCAAGGACATTGTCCTCAACCTGAGCGGTCGCGGCGACAAGGATGTTCAGCAGGTGGCTGACGAGCTTCCCCGGCTTGGCCCCAAGATCGGCTGGGATCTGCGCTTCTAGGCGCATTCCATCCTTTCTGAGTCGTTTCCCCCCGTATTGTTTGATATATGTTCTTTCGGTCCTCTCTTTTGTCAGAGGGTTTCATGATTCCTGATGCTTTTATGCTACACATTGCGGGATGGTCATGGAAAAGCGTTGCAGACTTTTTTTTTCATTCTTTTTGGTTAGAAATTAGAAAAAGAAAAAAATAACTATTGATATCCCTTTTCCGGTTGATATCCTTTTTTCGGTCTTTCTGTTTTCCTTCATCTTTTCTAGACTAGACTGTCTCATACGCATAGATACTGTGACTCGGCAAAAGTCCAAACACCTTTTTTGTACCGCCTTCCACTGAAGGTATACCGCCCGTTGTACCTAAATCCTGATTAGTAGATAATCAATTTGCCGGTAGAATATTGAAGGTGTTGACACTTGCAATTCTAAAAAAAAGTCAGAACCGAGATATCGATGACTTCTCGCAAGACGTCCAAGCCTGTAGATTTAGGCTCGTCAATACCACTATACACACAAAATCGACGAATCGACCATTCCATACTTTGTAGAGAGCAAAGATAGCCCTGAAATAGATTCGATAATGTATAGAGACCAAAAAAAACAACCAAGAAAGATACGAACAACCGCAAGAACAAAAGATAGGAGTATATGCAATTGACATCGACAAAAACAGGACCTACTAAATCCCCTCGCCGGGACTCTCAGGCTTCCCACTTCCACCTCGCACTAAAATAGGAAACCCGGGAATAGTTTACTTCAACACAGCCCAAGGCCTAGGATTCCCCTCAACACACAGCACCGCCTCATGCGTCGATCAGGTTCTCGTGCGAGTTATCGCGGGTATCCTTGTTAGGGATCTTACGTGCGTGGCGGGCGTAGAACTCATCGAGAGTGCGCTTAGGCACGCGGTTGAGGAGTTCCTTGGGGTAGATGCGGAGGAGGTTCCAGGCGAGATCGAGGGATTCATCGATGGTGCGCTTCTCGTAGGGAGACTGGCTGATGAAGGTGCGCTCGAACTTTTCCAGGAATTCGAGGGAGAGCTTGTCTTCGGAAGAGAGGGCTTCTTCTCCGACGACAGCTTTCATGGCGGCTGGTTGGGGTTGTTAGAGGTGTTTTTAAGATGTGAAAGGGTGGAACAGTGCAATGTAGAGAATCTTTGGGGGTGGGGTGGGTTGCTTACCGGCATCACGACCAATGGCGTACTTGGCGTACAGCTGGTTGGACACATCTCCGTGGTCCTTGCGGGTGCGACCCTCGCCGATGGCGGACTTCATCAGACGTGATAGAGAGGGCAGGACGTTGATTGGTGGGTAGATACCGCGGTTGTCGAGCTGACGGTCAATGAAGATCTGGCCCTCGGTAATGTAACCAGTCAAATCGGGGATAGGGTGGGTGATATCTGCAAGAGTATGGGTTAGTGAGGTTCACTTGGAGAAGAATGGCCGGAGTAACGCACCGTCGTTAGGCATGGTCAGAATGGGAATCTGTGTAATGGAACCATTGCGGCCCTCAACTCGTCCAGCACGCTCGTAGAGGGTGGACAAATCTGTGTACATGTAACCGGGGTAGCCACGACGACCGGGGACTTCTTCTCTAGCAGCGGAAACTTCACGTAAGGCATCACAGTAGGCGGACATGTCAGTCATAATAACCAGAACGTGCTTCTCGAGCTGGTAGGCGTAGTATTCGGCGGTGGTCAGGGCAAGACGAGGAGTAATAATACGCTCAATCGTAGGGTCGTTGGCCAAGTTCAGGAACAGAGTGACACGCTCCATACTACCGTTCTCCTCGAAGTCACGCTTGAAGAAGCGGGCAGTCTCCATATTAACACCCATGGCGGCGAAGACGACAGAGAAGTTCTCCTCGTGGCCGTCATGAACATCCTTAGTAGGCTTTGCCAAACTCGCTTGGCGACACACTTGTGCTGCGATCTCGTTATGGGGCAAACCAGCGGCCGAGAAGATAGGAATCTTCTGGCCGCGGGCAATAGAGTTCATCGTATCGATGGCGGAGATACCGGTCGAAATAATCTCCTCAGGATACACCTTGTCCGTTCGTTAGCTTCCCGTAGTTCGATTATAATGGCAGTGTGCATACTCGCGAGTAGGGGTTGATAGGCTGGCCGTTGATGTCCAGGTAATCCTCCGCTAACACCTTAGGGCCCTTGTCGATAGCTCGTCCCGAACCGTCGAATGTTCGACCCAACATATCCTCGGAAACACCAAGCTTCAAGCTGTGGCCGCTGAACTCGACTTTGGTCTGACCGATCTGTCAGTTTATCCGATACTCCAATGATTCGCACGGGTGATTGTACCTTCTTCACATCGATACCGGAAGTGCCTTCGAACACCTAGTTGACAACGACGTTAATGTCTTGCATTTTAGGGGCGAGATCTTAGTCCGCACCTGCACAACAGCCCGGTTTCCTATTTGTATGTATAGCAGTCAGCTTTCATACTCCTAGACCAAACAGCGGAACGTGGGGAACGGACCTCTGGCTTCCAGCACCTGACCACTGCGCTCTGTGCCATCAGGTAGCGTGAGTGAGACGATTTCGTTGAATCGAGGAAATTTGACCTATTTTGGGGCAAGAAAATTAGCTTATAGTTGCTACATTAAACCTACGTCAACTCACATTGTCGAGGATAACTAGCGGTCCGTTGATGCCTCCGATGGTATTGTAGCGCATCCGAGGCTTGACGGAGGACATCCGGGGGTCAATAAAATCGGCCATGGCGAATCTGATCCTCCAAATGCAGGGTAGAAAGGGCAAGGATGGGGGAGAGAGTAAAGGTGGGACTCGGGGGTTGGTCTAGCTGTCTCGATGGGGAGCTTGGGCGGTGACGTTGCACGTGATGACCAAGATTGCGTGGGTCTTGATAGTATCTTGGGCGTTCTAAGCCAAACTTGGACTAGATCCAAGCCTGAGGTATATTTTTGATTGCCATAAAAATAGTACACTTACATTATGAATGAAGCAATAACCCAAGAATCTATCTATTTTTTACATGTAAAGTCCAATAGAGGCCAGCATCTTTTATCCAAGGCATCATATCATGGATGCATATTAGACACTACTAAGCAATTAAGGACAAGATTGCGCCGATAACAAGGAATATTGATAGCGAAGACCCGAATCAATAACAATCAATAAGGAGAATTAAACCAGGAGAGAAGAGTAAGCCATAATGTGAGATCTTGAGCTCATGAAAAGCAGGGTATCCATACGCATTAAATAGAGATGAGAATCCAGATCTAATGCACCATCCACAAGATAGGCGCCTCGCCATGATCCGATCCATGAAAATGCAAGCCAGAGAGTAAACACAAGGAAAGAGAGTGCACTGAATCAGTCCACTTTGGCTTGAGATAGACTCTTCGGCGTAATTAGATTGTTGGATAAGCGCACATTCGCAGTTCCCTTGAGCTTTTCTTTCCATGTATGCCTCTTCAATCTTCGGCGTGCAACCATTACCGGCACAGAGGAATTAGAAAGAAGATAGTTCGAGAATGAGCCAAGAAGGACACTAAATGCAAGGTTAGTATGAACCAAACAAAAAATTTGAGAGTGTCACTCACCCTTTTAGTGCACTCTGACCTCGCGCACCCACAATAACAAGTGTGGGCTCAAGTTCATCAATCTGAGTCATTGTAAGTATGGACTAGGGATAATAGGGATGTTGAGAGCAAGAAATACTTACAGCTTCAGTGATCATAGACTTCGGGTTCTTGCAGTGGATCACTTCCACGGCAATACGGACCTGCAAGACTGTTTTCCGTAGCAAGTTCACACAAGTCTGAGACACAGTCTCAACTGCTCTCACCCGTTCCGCCTCGGCTATTGACGATGCCCGAGAATCAGCAGAATGTGTCTTGCTAGCAGTACCAGGGCCCAGCCGACCTAGGATCGTACGGGATGCATAATTCTGGTTTGCTTCTTTTGTCTGGGTCCCAACGACGGCCGTTGCATCTTTCATCACTTTGGCCCCTTCGCCGACCTGGACCGCTGATGTGGTAGTGGAGTCCTCGTGTATGGCGTAGATGGCGAAGATCGTGTCTCCATCTCTCAGAACCGTCCCGATGGTCCATTCCAGGGCATAGACTGACTCTTCGCTCAAGTCAGTCGCGATTAAATATTTCCGACGGCGACGACGGCTCCCATCATCCTGCGGAGTTGAAAAGTTCCCGCGGACAATTGTTCGGATGGATCGGTTGTGAACACCGTTATCAATAGCTGACATGGAAATGCCGAGTTTCTGTGCACGATGGATGTCACCGATCTCGGCTTCATCCTCTGAGCCGTAAGGTGTGCCAGCCACTGACTGAACACGCGGGGTGGGGATGTCGAAACTAGTCTGTGGATGGACCACAGCTTTCAAAGCAGATTTTCGCGGTTTCTTTTCCTGTCGTGCACTGTAATTTTCGGAAGCTTTTTCTATATGCGAAATTAGTACATTGGATTGCCCAATTCACAGAAGGCAACATACGTTCTTCGGACTGCTTGGAATTGTTGGATTTCTCAAAGTCGCTTGGCGTTATAGATGTGATATCCGAGTGCTTCTTTTTCTTGCGGCCTCGTTCACCATCCAGAGTGCTGTCTTCGTCGCTCGAAGTATCTTCGTCTTCACTACTTTCGATCATGTTCTTGTCGCGATCGAAAACGTCCTTGGCTAGTCGCTCTCCTCCCTCCTCCACAGCTGTCGGTTTGATATAATCAGGGAGGCTTCCATGGGGTTTAGCTAATGCCTCGTCTGACTTGTTGAATGTATCGTGCATGACAAACGACTTTCCTGAATTAACAGGGGCGGGTGTTAAAGTTTCAACATGAACAGAATGACTACCGGAGGAACTGGGGCGACCCCGCTCCGGTGAAGGAGTAGAATGGGCATCAACAGACGATCCACGCTGGGAAGGTCCCCGTGACGAGTCTCTGTCTCTGCCACGGGAAAAGCTTCTCGGGAACAGACGGCCAGACATTATGGCAGCCACCCCCTTGCGGCTCTGGGACCTATCTCGAGCCTGCAAAAATCGCTTTTTGACATGTGGCTGCTCTAGAGAAGTAGAAGCGACATCAGATTTTGCACCATCGTTAATACTCAGGCGACGCGAGGTTGAGCGAACAGTGTCAACAGCCTGGTCGGATGATCTACGAGGAAGAGCCTCGCGATTTGCAGTGTGTCTCTCCGGTGAACTTGGAGCGGATGCCATATCTGAAGAACTGATGCGCAAAGGCGAGGATACGAGTGGCTCGACTGGGCTGCGGGTTCCTCTGGGCGAATAGGTTGTCCCGCCCACACTCTTAGGCTGCGGGGCGATCAGCAGGTTCTGCAGGGTGCGGCTTAGACCCGATGGTTTCTCATTTATTGTCGTTGATATTGTACCATCCAAGATTTTTAGTTGTTCAGGAGAAGTTCTATTGTGGTACGACATTGCGTCGTACCGCCTCCGGGTGGGGAACTCAGTCAACTCCGCCAAGCACTGAGGAATGTGGAGCAGATCGCCCTGTGATGGTGTTAGGGGTCTTCTGTAATGGAAATTCAAGAAAATAACCCTGACAACTCACACTGTCGGAAAAGTCACAAATTCAGTCGACATTCGATAGATGCAGACTGATATTCGGCAATTAGATTCTACATGAGCAATATGCTCTTGGGGTTGAAAGTAAAAGAGCACAAAGGGAAGCAAAAGGAGAGATTGGGAGAAGGAGCCCAAGGTGAGGCTTTTGATTGCAGCCACAGTGGCTGCATCTTCTATCTTCTACCATGGCTGTTTAAAATGTACATATTTATCTTCTAGTATGTCTTTTTGAATGTCCTTTTGGATGTTTCTTTGTGTTATAGCCAAAAGGAATGAAAGGGTATCGTGGTATGCAATTACAAAACTCCTATTAAACCTACACGATAGACGCCTAGACATGACACATGAATGCTACAGGAAACAAAGACCCCAATTCAAGCCTTGGCCCTCTTCGACTTAGGCTTCGTCCCCTTCCGAGCCCCAACAGCAGCAAATGCTTCCTCGGGGGGCTCATCATCGACACCACGCTTCTTCCCAGGCTGCGCATACTTCTCTTCCAAACGAGCGAGGAAGCCCGCACCACGGTCCTGCTGGCGCTTAGTGATAATAGCCAGAAGATCATCCTCATTCGCCGCAGCCTTCGAGCTCTTCGCCGAAGACCCAGCTTTCTTCTTCTTCTTATCCTCAATCTCCTTCCCCAATTTCTCCGCCTCCCGTGCCTCCTTCTGCGCCTTCTTCACACGCTGCTGTTTCTTCTTCTCGGGCTCCTTAGAATATCGCTCGAAATCCTCCACTTCCTCATCCGCAATGGCCTGGTCAATGATACCCCGGAACCGTTCATCGTCATCTAGTACATTTGACAACATCACGGTATCGTAGATGGCATCCATGTTGCCCTTGTGTGTCTCATACGCAGCGAGCAGGTCCTTTCTCTCCTCGTCTGAGTTTTGGTACTTCTTCTGGAAGTCCGAGATCGCCCGCGAGTCGAGCATCGCTGATAGTTGTTCGCGGTAGAAGTCCATCCAATTGAAGTCGCCATCTTCACCGAAGGCTTCGTCCGTGCTGCCGGTCCGGTCGTACACGCTTCGTCGGCGCGCGTCAGATAGTACTCCGTATGCCAGAGCAATTCGTTGGAATTTTGCGTTGGCATCTGCGCGGGCTTCTTCGTTCACCTTGTCTGCTCTAAGATTAGTATGTTGGATGTTTTCGAACCTGCTTTGGTTTGCATACCGGGGTGGTTTCTCAAAGCGCTCTTTTTGTATGCGGTTTTGATGGCTTCTGGGGTTGCATCGGATGCGACGCCTAGAATCTTATAGAGATCTTCCTCAACAGACGGCATTTCTTCGTCTGAGGCATGGTTTTCGGGTTTCGCGTTTTTCGCCATGGTGAGTTTTCAGTGACGCGATAGGTGTTTTTGAGTTGCTCGAGCACTAAGAGGAAGAGCTGAGTGTGATTAAGATATATTAAACGGAACTGGAATTGAAAAGCTGAAAAGACCAATAATAGTGGCGACTACACTAGCGTAAGTCGTAGAAATGGAACGCGATTTAGACGCGACGGGGCCATTTCGTCATTCTGCTGCTGCTTCCCGCCTGGCCTATCAACCCACTTTCAAGTACCTCAAGCTCATTGACAGCGCCACTCCACTCTCTTCGAATCTCAAAAGCTACAGGAGCCATTCGAATCCTATTCAAAATCCCCATTCCACATCTAGAACAACGACCTTACCCATTCCCCTCCCACACCGAACAACCCAACCCAATCGCAATTGACATCACTCACCATGACGACAACCACCTCCCCTCACATACCCTACATGAAACAATGTCTCTCCCTAGCGGAGAAATCACCCCCAAGACCTACCAATTTCCGCGTTGGCGCAATCCTGCTATCCCGCAAAGACAACGACCCCACCTTCACAGACGATCGGATCCTCTCGACGGGGTACACAATGGAGCTCGCGGGGAACACACACGCAGAGCAATGCTGCTTCTCCAACTATGCCGCAGTGCATAAAGTCCCCGACGACAAAGTTGGCGAAGTCCTCCCCGTCGAGCCCGGCCGCAAGCTTGTCATGTATGTGACGATGGAGCCGTGCGGGAAGCGGCTGTCTGGAAATACGCCGTGTGTGCAGCGCATCACGCAGACAGCAGAGGGCGGGCGCGAGGGGATTCATAAGGTTTATTTTGGAGTTAAGGAGCCTGGCACATTTGTTGGAGAGTCTAGGGGGTGTCGGATGTTGACTCTGGCGGGCATTGAATGGGAGCATGTTAGTGGGTTGGAGAAGGAGATTTTGACTGTTGCTTTTGCGGGGCATGAGAATGCGGAGAAGGAGGTTAGGGATGCATTGGGGGAGAAGGAGACTAATGCTGATGATATTAATGCTGAGGAGAGGAAGGGGCAGGAGGCGATGCCGAGGAATCCGATGAAGAGGATGATGGAGGGCGATAAGCATATCTATCTATAGAGATTGTGGGGTGTGCTAGAATATAAAAGTAGCGCTGCAGAAATCAGCAATTAGTATGTGATCCAGTGCCATTATCGGCTGGTTGAAGGTCATCTCAAGACAATGACGTAAAATGCTAAGAGGTAGCCAGTAAATCAATCGAAGTATCACCGAGACACGAAGTCCACATCATGAAGACACAGGAGTATTTGCCTTAAGCAAACCACGAGATAACGCGACCCACGACCTTAATTATACACAACCACGTGACATCAACCCGACTTTCAACGCCAGTTTCAGTTTCCAATCCAGAATGCAACTCTGATATCTTTTAAACAAGAACATCCCGAGAAAAAAGATGACCCAATGGCAACTTTCAACAATGAGCACCTCGTATTTTATCCCGCGTTCTGCTTCAAGGCGTCACCAACGCACTTTACCTGGGTGAAAATGGGTGCGGCCGATGTGCATCGTCTCCGAAGATCGAATAACTTTGTGGGTATGTTATTTTACTTTCCAAGCTTGCAAATTCTTTGTGCCCCTGAAGATCGACGCGCCTAGCGCGCAGATGCATAATTTCGGGTCCTCTAGCGTGAAGGCTCGGAAAAGAGGCGTTAGCGTGACGAAGTTCATTTGATATCTCCCACCAAGCTGTCTATACTTCCTTTTCAGTATACCTGAACTTCCCATGTCCCAATTCCCTCTGTCATGCCTTTCCAACATATCCAAACATATTCTATCTTCCTATTACTCAATATCTCCCTCCAACCAAAACACAGCCAAGCCTATCTATACATAAAAGCAAAATAACTAACAAACCCCCACAGGCCAAAACATCTTCTTCTACAACAATCACCCAATCCAATTCGTCAGCCTGGTAGGCGTCATAGTGGCGCGAACTGATTTCCCATGGCGCACAATCCTAACACTAGACGACAGTAGCGGCGCAACAATCGACATAGCCGTACAAAAAAAGACTGAACCAAAACCCAGCACTACTAGTCAAAAAACCCCCACCACAGACCCAGAACAAACAGAATGGTCCTCGTTCTCCCTCACAGCGCCAACAGCCACCAGCCTCACTCGAACAACACACATAACCTCCAAAGACCGCGACGAGATAGATATCTCAGCTCTCGAACCAGGAACGCTAGTCCGGGTAAAAGGGACACTGTCAACCTTCCGCTCGCAGATGCAGTTAAATCTCGAACGGTTCTGGATTGTGCGCGATACGAACACTGAAATGCAATTTTTGGATTCCCGTCTACGGTTCCTTATTGAGGTCTTGTCTGTCCCGTGGGTTTTGACTGATGAGGAGATTGAGACGCTGCGTGCTGATGCCGAGAGGTGTGATGAGCGTGCATTGGAGAGTAAGAGGCGTGCGGAGAGGGCTGCGAGGAAAAAGGTTGAGCGGGAGGAGAGACATGCTAGGGCTATTGCGCGCCGGTATGAGAAGGAGGAGAATGAGAGGGAGAAGGAGCTTAGGGAGATTAGAGAGGATGGGGAAAGGGTTATGAGGAAGTTTGGGTTTGGGGCAGGGTGAGATGAAGCCAACTTGGATATACTTTCAGAATAAAATATTCGAAGAACACTATCTGGGTCTCAACCACTCCCCCCGTTGGTCAGGTACAATGGCAAAGAGTATAGCATTCTACGGGCGATTCCGTCCTCAAAATCCACTTTTCATTCCCAATGCTATTGAAGAAATTATAATCTCACATGTATTCGGATCAGAACAGAACGTCAATGATATGAGATATCGTCAGTCATGCACCCCAGAAAGAAGGGGTATATTCGTATCCATGCAACGCCAAAAGAATTAGAATCAGGATCAGAATCAAGACCAAAAGTTGAGATCAAGAGCCAGAAGAACAGAAAAATGACCCTGACATGCAATAATCGCCAAAAATTACAGACATCAAAACATAAACCAAACACACCTCAACGGTATGCATACTTGTCATACTTATCATACCAAGGCCCAGAACCCCCATTCTGTCCACTCCCACGATAATACTCATCTTCACTACCCCGACTACCGCGATGGTATCTGCGCACATCATCCTCAGACGGATTCGCAGTAGGCGACTCGGTGTACGCCAAATCATGTGCCGACAGCCCGGCATATCTAACCGAATGATCACGACCATGCAAATCGCCCTCCGAATGCCTATAGTCACCACCACCGCGATGCTTCACACTCTGTGACGAGCTGCGGGAATCATGCGAGAACCGCTTATCAGCGGAATGGCCAGATCCCGAGCGTGAGTACTGCGGGTCGCGGTCATAGGAATCGGACATGCGGTGTGCTGGGGTTGGAGTTGGTCCCGATGTCTGTCCCTTGTAGGTAGAGTCTGAGGGTCGGGGCGTGGAGAAGGAGCTCGCGTGGCTGCGGCTCGGGCCTGATTCTTCGTAGACTTTGCCTATACCTGGATTGGCGCTGTAGGGCTTGCGTTCGCGTTCGATTGGCACTGAGGGGATGGGTTCGTCTTCGTCGTCTGTGACGGCGGTTGAGACGGGTCTTGGTTGTGGTTGTTGGGCTGATCTTGGGGTCAAGCCGGTGGGACGCGGTCGGCCTCGCTCGTATGAGTGGGTTCGCTCTGTGGGTGATGCGGTCGTGGTGGATGATCGGGTCGTTCGGGTGGTAGATTGGTTGCGTTCTTCCGGGGTGATATATGGTAGATCGACGCCGCAGTGGACCATCAGGCGGTCCTCGATGTCTTCTCTGATTGCGATATCTCCGACTTCTGGGAAGAGGCGACGCGGGATTTCCTTTGGGAAACGCTCTTTCTTGTCGTCTGGGTTGCTGATGGGCATGTTGAGGACTGCCTTTTGGAGCCGCTCGTATTCGCGCCCTGGGTTTGCGAGGATCATTAAGGTTGCCCAAGTTTCGAAGCCTTTGGGTGTTAGGCCTGGAATGTCTGGGCGTTTTTCTATATCCTCTTGGACGAGATGATGTTCGACTTTGATTTCGCGGAATAGGCGGGATATCGAAGATGTACGATCGTCGAAGATGTCTAAATATTTGGTTAGAATATTGTATATCAATGAACAGATCAAGCCACCAACCTTGCCATGGATAAGGGTCATCCGGGTCATGAGTATCACGGTAGAACTTTTGCAACTTATGAGGGGGAATGACAAGAGTGTTTCCCGGCGGATAGTCCTCAATCTACTCAGATTAGCCATCAAGATCCATAGTGTATCAGAACAGAAAAAAGCTCCACATACCAGATGAACCGCAATTCCACGTAAGAATTGGCCAAGCCTCTTCGTCGCTTTACCATCCTCAAACAACTTTCCCCAAATTCGCTCCAGGGTAGTCATCTCCATAACGGTGGCGTCTCGATCCGGAGGTTTGGGGCGCTCCTCCTTGTGGTGGCTATGACTCCGATCACTACTCTGACTCGATACAGAACCACGTCTTTCCGCAAGGGGATCGGGAGTAGGCTTGGGGCTGAGACGACTATCGCTAGCGTAACCGGAGGAGACGTATGGCTGGAAATTCCCAGTTTGGATATTGTCGGCCGAACTAGGGGGGATTGAACTGCTTCGCTGAGATGGTATGGCAGGTGACTCTGCGTTTGGCTGCAAAGAGGCCTCCGTTTGCCATGGTGGCTGTTGTGATTGTGAGCGAGGCGGGGGCGCACCCGATCCTTGTAGGTTGTCTAACCCGGTTGTCTTGAGCTGCTGAATCACCGTTGCTGTGATTTGCGATAGAACATCCGGGGAGAGATAGCCCGTGGATCCACTATTGTGAAATGCGGAGCTCACTGCATCGTCTATGTGCCCAGTGCTGTTTGGGGAGGAGCGCTGGGATTCCGGGTAGTTGTATGACTCTGGGGTTGGACTTGGGGCCGAACCAGTCCGCGGCACCTGTGGCTGCGGCATGTTCAGATGGGTTTGTTCATGGTAGGATGGATAAGGTGTTTGCGAGTATCCATATTCATTTGGATCGTTCATTTTGCCCGTTTGATTTGTATTCCTGTAATTTCCATTGTAGGCCATACGGGTTTCGGGAGGTTAGATGTCTATTTGCACAAAGACGTGTAATCCTCAGTTGGAAATAAAGAAATTTGGAGAAGTTCTAGAAAGAAGAAGTGCAGATCTGGGAAAGGTTGCGAATTACCAATATTATGGAGGGGGCTAGTGGGGGGGGCGAGTGAAACGTTGTGGCGATCGTCAGTGCGAGACAGATTTTAAGATTCTCTTTGTACTCCCTCGACGTCACCTTGCTCTTTAATATATCTCTTTGTTATATTAAAGTCCCACAGATGTTCTGTCATATTGCTAGACTGGGTCAGAGCGACACGATCGGCAGACTAACGAAGCATGCATATCGCAGTGCATAGCAACGGTGGACTTGGGTCCTATTGGCTTTGATGCCCATCTTTGTGGTTTCCTTGGCTACTCTAGCGTAATTAATTGAAAGTACTTGAGTAGTCATATGGATATATATTATTAAAAAGACATCGTAGTGAAATCTTAGTTGAAACGTCTCTAATATCTCTCCACCTAAATAGATTACTAATTTATTCAAGTCTATAATTATCACTAAGCATAGAACATGTAAGCCGACTATTTTGGTATATAAATGACTGGCTCATCATAAATTCATCTAAATTTTTCATTGGGCGAATGACATATTCAAGTACTCTATACAATGTAAAAATTAGTTGAAGAAGGCAGAGTGGTGAATCCTCAAAGCCAATAGGGCCAATATCCCTAGTCGCTATGCACTGTGATACATGCATCTTCCATGCAGTGTGTGCATTACAGTTTCCCTTGCACCTATCAGAGTTGCGAAGGACATTATTTCAAAGATTGAGCTATGTCATTGCCAGCTGTCGGCTAGGATCCGACGGTCGGGCTCCGACAGATCAGAGTAATATTGTAGCCTTGGGGGTTGTATATTCTGCAAAGCCTTCTCATTCTCTTATGATCTGATACCATTATTAGGAATAAACTAAAACTTGACCCATTCCCAGAGCTGGAACATTCCTAAATAAATTACATATACGGAGTAGGTAGTAATGAACTTGAAGTATTTATAGTGGGTCAACGGAACCACCGATGTCATAACCATGGTCCCAGTTCAAGACTTGGATATAGTATCTGTATTGTACGGAGTTATAAAGACATACTATAATGTAGTCATTAACCTGAAAAGAGCTTGTGATTCAAGTTATCAGGAAAGGAATTAGAGCCTTGATTATCGTATGCAAGCAGGAAACAGAAAGCATCACAACTTTCAGGAAATGAATCCATGGATAAAGCAGACGCTTATATAATTTTCGCGCCCGGCGAAATCCTACCAGGTCCCTAGCCAACTTCACACAAGCTCTCTCCACATACACGATAACCCCGAATTCCCGCTAGCATGAATAAACGTCAGCAGTCCAGTAGGTATGTACAGTACAAGTACCCTGGGGAGTCGAAACAATTAAACACACCTAAGCGGGATAGGCAGGCGGATCGGACTCGTACTGTTCGAAATGCCTCTAGACTTCAGCTACCTCAGTTTTCAGAAAGCCAGAGATCGTGACCGGGAGTACTGGCGCATGCGTCTCACTCTCTATAGTGTCCGCAAAGACTTGTTGAATCTGCGGGTGGTTGGTCTCTATCGCTAACAACAATGAAGTCGCGTTGGCTCAAATACCAGTCAGGTCTGACAGTCGTGGAATAGAGAAGTTGGGGGCCCCAGAAGAGGCCATACGACGACGAGGATCGCCAGACAATCATAAACCGTGTCGCTGTGTGAATTGATAAGCGGTCGGTGGGAGGCGAGTTCACCTACAAGGAGCTCATCCCAAAAGCCGGTGGTACCGCGTCTTTTGGAGACGTATCCATCCACTGGTCCGGAATATATGCAATGGCACTGGAACAATTTCTACAACAGCTCACTTCAGAAGGTGGCCGACTGAACGCCTTGATTTGTCCTTCTTCTCTCAGGCATCTGCAATCTATGAAGAGGCTGTCAAAAGTAGTATGTGCATGTTACAATCTAAATATAGCCAGATTTCTGTCAAGGTAGCTTACTTAGGCCGCTCATCCCTATGCTCACCTGGGCAGATCAGACTCGGTGAGCGGATCAGGGCGCTCAGTTTTATTCGTTATTACTCGATTTTACTCTGTAACCAGAAAAAGCGGCAAGGCCAGAGCACTAAAACGGAAAGAGAAAGCCAAGAAGTGGACATAGGTCTTCATAAAACATCGTCAACCCTAGGGCTCTAGAAAAGAAAGCGAAAAAAGCAAAGTATACAGGGTTATGTCGGGCATGGACTGAGAAATCCACCCCACCCTGTGATAAAAGCCTCGTCACTCAGAATATGAAAAAAAATTGTCTCTAAGCCGTTCACCAGACATAGAGCATGTTGCGGACTGCAATACTAGGCGCAGTCCAACAGCCAAACTTCTCATAGTAGAAGCATTGTCAATCATAACCCGAGTGTTGTCCATAGGAAATGCAGGCACGGTGCTGGAAGCAATCAGAGAAACCTTCCTCCTTTCCAAGGAGCGCCATCATTAACCTTGCGGGTGCCAGGTGCCCAGCCTGGGGCGGGCTCGGGGTCGGGAACAGGCTGCTGGCGGGGACGGTGCGCCTATACGATACAATGCTCTGTTAAAAGTCCAGTTAGAAGTATTGTTGGAATAAAGTCACCCACCTTTACTTTCGCGAAGCCACCCCGGTTCGCATTACTATCACTATCCGAGGAGTCATCATGCAGGACAAGTGCTTTCTCGATGCCACACTCCAGGCTGTCCTGTAATAAAAGTATATACGTGAGTAACCAAGAGTTAGCCAGAGCTGATGTAGTCCTGATCACTTACCGGCTGACCCAGAGAGTCAGAGAGATCGACAGACTCAGGGCGTCCCGCAGACCCAGACAGAGGCACAGATTCAGAGTGAGCTGCAGACTCAGAGTTGAGTTCCTCTCCTTCATTCTTTCCCTTTTCCTCAACCACAGCTTTGTCCGTGATTGCAAGATCTTTATCGATAGGATCGAGGGACATCTGGTAGTTCATACAGGGCTGGCAGATCTATTGAGACCAATCAATTATTAGAAGCAGTCAAACTGTATGCTTTCATAGCCCAAGAGAAAAAAGGACATACCGGATTCTCACGATTCCGTTGGTTTCTGGCAAATTGATCGATGGCACGGTAGTGACCGCAATGATGACACAGCTCCTCACAAACCTGAGCATTCGTGCATGGGCCACACTTAGCAACCTGTTGGTCACGGATGTTACTGTAGCCAAGATCGAACATTGCCTGGCGGAGGTAGTTGAGCTGATTGTTCGAGTACTGCGACTTCGGGCGACGCCGCTTGCAGACGCAACATTTGATTCTATGACGGTGAGTAGGTTAAGATCAAGATGGATGAAGGATACTGACTCGTTTGGAATCGGCATTCGGTCCATGCTATCGATACTTGGTTAGCGAATATCTGACTTCTGAGAATGAGATTTAACTGACGCCTCTCTGATTTCTGGTGTGTATCCCCGCGCAAATGGACTCAAGGGGTTCCGTCTCCGTCGCTGAGACATGGTCAAATGGTATTTCAGAAAGGCAGAAGACTCAGGTAAGGAAATAGCATAGATTCGCAGGATAAACTTCACAGAGTGGATGTAGTGGCTGACGGCAAGAGAGGAAGAGAATAATTGGGAAGGGAAGGACAGTCTTATACCGACAGAGGAAGGCACAATGAGGAAGCTGCGTGGGTTGGTCTTTTCAAAAGTGAGGGTTTTGGACTGGCCACTTCAATCACCTCGAATTTGCTTTTCTATCGTAAACATTGTTTTTATTGTTCTTTTGGTTTTGGAGACCTGCCAACAAGAAGGACTGAAGACACAAAAGAGAAAATAATGCTAGGAAAAGAGTGTCAGTTCAGGGTATTAGTATTAACTTCGAAGCAAGTAGATATATAATAGCTAAGCACCCAGGTGAGCATGTAGGTACCAAGCAGATACAAATCAAAACTATCAACAAAAAATATGAAGGGCATTTTGTGCTGGAAAGCAAATACACAAGACATAATGAAGGCCTTAGACACTGCTTAGGACAACAGACACTGTCAAAAGTAACCTCTTGTAGAGCGTCATCAAATCACCATTTATTTTCACCTCACTTCAATGCACCGCATTTCACACCCCTCTTTTATATATTTTGCGGCTAATTCTTTTCTATCATTCTAGCGAAAAAACCAATAAGAAGGGGGAATATCAGAAAAGACATCTAAAATGTCTATATGAGGACACACCGACACCAAAACGGTCTTCCAAAGAATTACCAAAAACACTACTAAAAAAGATATGAGCAGGCCGCATCAGCCGCCGACTATTCCAAGGCTCTTGTGGATTTTTGGTATTATATTTTACAAAGCAAATATATAGCATGATGATGGTTGCCTCGGACATTACCAAATTTATTCCTTAGTAGGGAAATGATGGAGATAGTTAACAAACCTCTTACAGCACCTTCAAAAAGGAGTGACATTAAACCAAATAGCAGTCTCACCCCACCCCAAGGCACCCACATGTCAGACTACTTTATTTTCTTTCTAGAAAACCATAGAAGAAGCGAAGAAAATCCCTAAATAGAAGTATAATTGATATTTTCTGCATCCACTATAGGGGCACCCCCCAATCTAAACAGGGGCTAGTTTCAAACCCAACTGGACCAGTAAAACTGGCCTCTGAAGCATGACACTGGTTTGAGGCTTTTGGCCCTCAAGCGTGATTCCTTACCCTAGGCTGTAGGCTATATGTACCCCGTACATGTAAGAAAGCAATACTAGAAACTGCGTATACTAGCCAACAGGTTACTTCTACGATATCTTGCTATATAAGGCTGTATAGTCAACATTTTAGCAGTTCTTCCTACTATATAATTGTAATTTCCACCACGGAACAGACGGAGAAACTATTAGGTAGGTAGCTCTGAGTGGGAAGTGAGGAGATGTGATTTGAAAGTGAAGAGATGCTTATCGATGAAGTGTAAGGCTCTGAGCGAGGAAGGAAAGAGATACGGATCGATGATGAAGAAAGTGTAAAGCAACTTAGAGAGGAAGTGGTTATATAGATATGTAGTGTTTCTTATGCCTCCCCTAGCAATGGATAGATAGTCTTGCCCCTTCTTGGGCTTCTGGAGAAGGGGAGGAAGAGAAAGAAGAATCATTGTTGTTCAATCTAGCATAAAGCAGGGTATTTATACACTGAAATCTTACAGACCATCTGCTCAGTCTGCAAGCAAACAATCATGGGATGGTCTAATGTTGAACATCCCTTAAAGACCATAGATCGATTTCTTCTTCTCCCCCTCTACATAGCATGATGTATCCCACCGAGCATCACTATCGTCGAGGGAAGCCTTATAAAATCGCGAACTTACCCTAAATTTCTTTTTTTGATAGCGACTTTATTTAACGCCGATGCCTGAGGACTCTAGGAATATTATATAGCTTCGAAATTCTAGCATTGTCCTAGGATTATGCTAGGGCCAGTGTCAATTCTAGAGCGCGCGCTAGTGCGTCAATATAGGTCCATATATTCGGAGTTCACGGAGCAAACTAAGCTCTACAGAAATGTGCGTACATAGCTGTGCTAAAAAAAAGAATGAACATATAACTACTTGCAAATAAGTCTCAAATGTAGATGACTTTAGGCTAGAGAGGAAAGCAAGAAAAAGAAGATAGAGGCCCAGCCATAACAGTTAGGGCCCTGGGTACAATAATTTCACCCTGAGTGACCACTAGCACAATGTGGTAACACGTCATGACCGTGAAGTGCAAGCCTTTCATCCAACAGCCCGTTTAGCGCAGTGGTAGTCGTGCATCACTTGTATAATAGATTTGTCCAAAGTGACAAATCTGTGTCTATACAAAGAATGTGATGAGGTCCCTGGTAATCCCGGAAATGGGCTTTTTTCCCTCCCCAAAAAGAGGGAGCGTCCAGTTCAAGAAAGCGGCAAGGGGCAAGGGGCCAGGGAAAGAAAGCCGCGAGATTTACAGTCACTCCGCAAATTTTAACATCGCCTTCTTAATTTGTCATACCGCCCGTGATGTTTTAATTTTTGATCGATGGATGAGTCCGGAGTATTACCGGCAGAACTTGAGGGCTGACACTGCTACTCCGTACAGGTTGAGGCTGCCCGTAAGCGGTTAGACAAGTCGAGGTCCACACTCACATATAGTTCCCAGAGCAATGGATGAAGCTAGTTAGATATGACACACATAAAGGACCCAGTTTGGGCGACAGGGACAGGGGAGGAAGGAGAGACATCTATCACTTCACAAGGTACATTACTACGGTACGCAAGTCACTGCGGCCGCCTTAGCTGACGATCTAGAAAATAACCGGAGCCTAAATTGGACACAAAGAAGATCTATGACATGCAGTAAGTGGCACTGCCACTGTATACTCCATACACTAGGTAGAATTGAGGGCTAGTGCTAGGTAGGTGATTCTGCAAGTGAAGACTCCAACATATCTGTTGGTGTGTGTTGTGCTATAGACACCTTCCCGATTTGTAAAAGCTTTATATATTACTCCGTAGAGCTAAGATGTAAGGGCGACTGAAGTGAAAGTGGGGACCCCTCTTATGACAATCTAATGAAAGAAATTAAGTACCGAGGGCCAATTCAAGCTAAATTAGGCCCCTCGTGTGCACCTGGGACGGATAATCTACTGGACTCAGATCTGACAGTTCCAGCGATCAAGGGGGTGACCCGCGGCTTCCACGCCTTCTAGAAATTCACACGGCCGTTTCGGCGTTTGGAGTGGGCCGTAATTTAGTGTCGAAGGTAGTGCCGAAAGTCGAAGGTCTAAACCTCAAAGTAATTTGCCAACGGTCGCAAGAAAGTTCATTAGGAAGTTCGGTACGAACATCCTGGAAATCGCGGGTTTGTTTGTCAGCGTGTTTATCTCCGGAGAAGGGGGGCCTGTTAGGGGGGCAACGAGACAAGAGACCAAGGCGGATTTGCCCCCAACAAGCTCTTGCTTTATGGAGTCCAAGGTCTAAAAAGGAATGACCCCATCTAAAGGCATAACCATTCAGAGACCGTTGCCTCGCAATAAATTTGGATATTTGATGATCACATTACCAGGAACCACCTTCTCGAAGGCCAAAGGAACACGGCGCCTCCCGGCAGTTTGGGAAATAAATAGTTTCCTTTCCTAAGTGGCGACACTGCAACCTTCCCCCCTATAGGGGCCCTCCGCGGCCTCCGCGGGTATCTGGAACGGGCCTGGATGAGCCCACTGTGGAGAATTCCGTATTCCCCCGAATCGACGGTGCGTGACTAGGCGTTTGTGAGGGATAAAAGAGCATCGTTATAGGCACAATAACTGGATAAAGTGGGCTACCTTTGGTAATGGGACCAATGGCATTGTTAGTGCATAGACTCCATCGTACTACTGATCTTTGGTAGGTGATAATTGGCTTGTAGTCGGTAGACGTGGAGTATAAAGCCCTACTGAACGAATCATAACTCGAAAGTGAGAAAGTGGAATGTTGAGTGAATATTGTCTCTCCGTATTGTACAATTCCTATCGTATATTGTACACGGTGTGTACTCCACGTCTTATTTTTCCCGAATAGTAAGACTATTGTGCGGTCTAGAGAAAAATATAAAAAAAAAAGTAAATCGGCCCACTAAATCCGAACCTTGGTTTCGTTTCGGTACGGCCCTTGGATTTGAGTTATGTAGGTACTTAAGGTGAAAAGGCAGAGATCGAATAAGGGGCGGAGGCCGAACATTGAAACAGTGGCATGTTATGAGTTGATGAGTAGGATCAGACTGGTCAAATTCTTTTTCAAATCAGCCTTGCAGAGTAATCTGGGACCATAACGGTTTGCCCCAGGGTTCGTCCATCTGACAGGTGCATTCCATCCCGCTTCCTGCAGGTAATTTACTGTGTAAGAGTTATCCATTGAGTTTGATCACCTCTGATTTTTCCACGTCTGTGTTCTCGGGACCGCGAACGTCCCCTAGCTTTGAAGTTAGTGGAGAAATCGGAATGGTGCGGTTAGAGACTTGCCGCAAATTGGCCATAACGGGCTTGGTTTATGATCTTACTGTCATCACTTTGATTAGAGTCTATTAAACCATAAGGAGTACATATACCATACGATGTACTCTGTACTAGACATTATTCTTGTAATACGCCCACACATCCGGCATCCATGGCAACAGGCACTCTAACATGTCTTTGAGACGGGATATCAACAAAGAAAATCGAATGATTAAGCAAATCCTACGCTGTTCCCAATCGGAGACGGCTGGGGAGAAACCTGTCAATGATCTCCAAAGCATACGGGGCCCAGACCCGTGTACCTTTGAACAAAGAGAAAAGAGAACCCATCATATGCAACTCCCAGCTCACCGCGGCTTAAGCTCCTCCGCATGTACATCTCTATCCCGTGAACCTTTCCGTCCACCCGCGAACCTAGTTTACTAATTATCTTCCACATGGCCGTGCCAGCATCCTACCCCGGTATACTCCGTATGATTGGCCCCAACCAGTCGGAGGATCAGTCAGAAAAGAGA